ATTGGTATTACTCTCCCTTCTCCATGGGAAGACTGTCTTCCCCTTGGTGTCAATGACCTATGTCCCTGGCTCTTCATCAGTTTCCCAAAAGCAGGGGATGAGACCTCCTGCAGTTATCCAGACTCTCTCCAACAGCCCCCTGGTGACCAGCAGGTTTGCAAAATGGTTCCCTGCATTGAGGGCTGGGGCCTTGGCTGTGTGAGGGTCAAGCCGACTGGGTCCAACCAGTGCCCTTGGTTCATCAGCCTCCACTGGATCAACAGGCCACAACTATGGCTGGAGCTTAAATTCCAGATTCCTGGGCAACCCCCAGCCCCCAGAGAGCCTTTTTCTGGGCACACAGAGTGGGGCAACTTCTTCTTGGGACCTCCCAAGCCCAGATGGGGCTGCTCAGGCCCTCAGTAACTGTATTTGTGACTGCCCTGGAGTCTCAGGCTTTCTCCCTCACTGGAGTCTGTTCCTAAACAGATTAGACTGCTCTTTTAAACGTGGTAGCAGCACAGCAAGGAGAGTCCTGCTCCCTTTCCTCTTCTCAAGAAAGAACTACACAGTTTTCTCATACCCACAGCAGAAACTTTTATTTCCTTTTCTTCATGCCAGAGCAATAGAAATGGGATCATGACTAATAATGGGTTAATAGTTGCTCTTCCCTTATCAACATTAGGTGACAAGGGAACTCGTGTTCACTGAGAGCAATCTATGTGTGCCTGGCAGTTATCTGATTTAATCCCTGTGACAACCCTGTGAAGTAGAAATCAGCTCCATTTTATGGATGAGTAAACTAAGGCTCAGGAAGGTTAAGGTATTCGCCTATTGCCACACAGCCAGTAAGCAGCATTCAAAGTGATGTCTGACCTCAAAGTCTCATGTGCTTTCTACTATGGTGCCAAACTATTTTCAGTCTATGGAACTGTGTATCTCTTAGCCCAGACACTGTCGGGGTGGCTGAGCCCTTGGGAGGTATGCCCTTTGATGGCACACTGTAGGCTGCTGTGGAGAGCCCTCTTCTCTGCCCTTGGGCCAGATGCCTTGCTCCGTCATTAGGAGCCTGGGAGACAGGCTGATCCACACAGCACTCTGGTTTCCCAGCCCAGGTGCCAAGCTACAAAGTATTCTTAAAGTGGTGCCGGGGCTCTCCTGCCACACTGCTGGCTAGGTGACTGACAGAGCGGGACCCCTGCTTCATGCTGTTCACCCAGTATAACCTCTCCAATTCAGACACTCTCATCCCAAATTTAAGACAATTCTGCCAAGACAGGACTTTAGCATTGAATCTGTATCAAAGCCCCACTGTGGGAAACAAACTCATAGCACAAACCTTACACTGACAGAGAGAGGGCTCTGCACTCTTCAAAGCACTGCTGCATCCCAACACTTCCGTGGCATCACAGCTAGGAAAGTGGCATTATTATGATTATTATATTTCCTTATTCCCACTCTACAGATGAAAAAACCCAGGTCCAAAGGGCCCTGAGGACATAGTGGTAGTAATGCTGAGAGTTAGGGCTCTGCCTCTGACATGGATTTTAAACAAAGCCATGGGGAGGGGAGACCTTGCTTTAAGCCCTGCAGAAGCCCCATTTACATGATGACAACTACTATACTAGTCGCAAATCTCTGGCAATAATAGCTAACACCTCTTAAATGCCTATTGTGCTGAGGCTTATGCATTTCTCATGCATTATCTCATTGGATACAATCTTGAAGAGTAGGTCCCATTATTACTTCCTATTTCACAGCTGAGGAAACTGACGCTCAGAAGGTTTAGAGGACATACTCCAAGTCATTAGGCTAGGCAGTAGTAGACTATAGACCAGGGGTCCTCAAACTTTTTAAACAGGGGGCCAGTTCGCTGTCCTCAGACTGTTGGAGGGCCAGACTGCAGGCCCCGGGATGAGTTGGCTGCTAAGCAGGACAGGCAGCGGCGGCAAAAACGCCCAGTGGGCTGGATAAATGTCCTAGGTGGGCCGCATGTAGCCCACGGGCTGTAGTTTGAGGATGCCTGCTATAGACGCAAAGCAAGGACTGCTCCACTAGACTATGGCGCCTCTAAAGTTGAGTCCAATATGGAAGCCACTAGTCACATGTGACTGTTTAAGTTAATTAAAATAAAATAAAATAGTTCGGTTCTTCTTTCTCATTCGCCACCTGCAAGTGCTCAATAGCTGCATGCGGCTAGTGGCTATGGTATTGGACAGCACAGATGGAGGTCACTTCCACTATCACAGGAACTTCCACTGAACAGTGCTGGTCTAAACACTCTTAAGGGCCAGGCGCAGTGGCTCACACCTATAATCCCAGGATTTTGGGAAGCTGAGGCCAGAAGTTGGAGGCTGCAGTGAGTTGTGATCATACCACTGCACTCCAGCCTGGGTGGCAGAGTGAGATCTCTTTCAAAAAAAATTATCCTTAAGGTAGGTATTCATCAGAGCTCTACCTTGGTAAAATGTTATTAAAGGCAGGGTTTTATAATCTCTGCACTATTGACATTTGAGGCTGGAAAATTCTTTGTTGGGGGATGGAGGCAGCTCTTCCTGGGCTACCTTCGGTATTCCATAGCACCTCTGGCTTCTGCCCACTACATCAATAGCTCACCCTGTCCTCAGTTTGAACAATAAGACATGTCTCCAGACATTGGCAAATGTCACCTGGGATGCAAAACTGTCCCCCACCCCAAGTTGAGATTCCATGGGTTCAAAGTTAGTACTGTATATATATTTGAAGCAATCAAATGACAAGTCTTAACTAATTTAACCTGGCCTTGGGAAAGAAAGCTAATTCACCGCAACTCATTTCTTCCAGAAAATTGTAAAGTTTATAACCATTTGTGTTGAACGAGTGGCTTTAATAGCTACTGAAGATTTCATGAAGGAATAAAACCATTTAAAACAGCACAACAAGAATGAAGAGTAGTTCCAGGAAGGAATTACTATAATGCATGTAGGATTATTAGTTCCTCAAATTTACTGTTGACCACAACCATGATTTAAAAGGCTAAAAGAGCATTAACGTAGAAAATCAAGTGGGCAACAACAGGAGTAATTGCATCATATGTTACCTCTTAGCTACTAATTTCCAGAAACACCAAACAAGCAAAAATTTGTGCTATTTGAGAAATTAGTGAAAGAGTCACCCAAATGCTCAAGTTGGCATAACAGCAAAGGCGCTTTCAAAGGTGTCAAGAGAAACTAGTGCACAAGTATGTCAGGCGATGTGCTAATGAATTTGATTTAATCACTCCACAATGTATACATATATCAAAACATCCATCCTATTGTATACCAAACATATATACAAATATTCATTTGTCAATTTAAAATATTAATTAAAAATTTTAAAGTGTAGAATATAAATATCTTAATACAATAACTAAGAAAATGCCACAAAGGCTATGTTAACCAGTTTGATGAACATATTTCAAATTGTATATAAAACCAGCACATTGTACCCCAAGATTTCATTAATGTACACAGCTATGATTTAATTTAAAAAAACTGACAAAGAAAAGAAATTAGTATAAGCATTTCCATGTAATATATTAAAATTTGGGCCCTGATGAAATAATATACTTATAGGCCAGGCGCAGTGGCTCACGCCTGTAATCCTAGAACTCTGGAAGGCAGGGCATGTAGATTGCCTGAGCTCAGGAGTTTGAGACCAGCCTGAGAAAGAGCAAAAGCAAGACCCTGTCTCTAAAAATAGCTGGGCATTGTGGTGGACATCTAGAGTCCCAGCTACTTGGGAAGTTGAAGCAAGAGAATCACTTGAGCCCAAGAATTTGAGGCTGCTATGAGCTTGGATGCCACAGGACTCTACTGAGGGTGACCAGGTCAGACTTTGTCTCAAAAAAAAAAAAAAAAAAAAAAAAAGAATATACTTTTATAATATGCATGTTTAATATGTTCCCAAGGAAACTAAACCACCCTACAACAAATGGAACACTCCTTTGAATGCTCCTGAAGGCCAAATGAAACCTGGCAACTGAATCTTCAGAGAAATTTCTGAAAGCTTTGAAAACCATTTTCTCCAAAACGAATTTTGGCAAAACTTAAACATTTTACCTGTGTTGTAAATAGTCAAAAGAAAGAAACTTTAGAAAAAATAAAAATAAAAATAAAATAAAATAAATAAAAAAAAAGAAAGAAACTTTAGGCAAGCTGGTAAACATGGCAAATAGTTAATTCAAGAAATTGCGAGACAGCCAAGCTTCCCCCAGTCCCCCTCAGAGGGTGAGGCTGGGGGCCTGGGACCATGCCTCCCAGCTGGTAAGTACCGACCACTCCTTCAGCACCCACCAATTAATTCTCCTTATTGGTCTCATGACTGAAAAGTACAGACAAATGCCATAGGGTGAAGGCAAGTTAGCAAAATGCAACACCCAAACTGGGCCCCCTGCCAGGACATTTGAGTTAATAGCCTTTCTTCTAACACTAAGGAAAAAGAAAAAAAAAATTAAACAGGTTCCAAAATGAGTGTCTTAAAAAGAAAGAAAGAAAAGGAAGGGAGGGAGTGGGGAAGGAAGGAAGGAGGTAGGGAGGGAAGGAAATCAAGTCCCACAGGGATCTCTAATGACCACATTAAGCACCCTTAATTATAGTGAGGAGTAGAGATTGGGTCTGAACCGGCAGGCTGAGAAGCTGCATCTACACATTTCTGACAGCCAAAATTTGCCCTCCAGGCTTTACTTTCATCATTGTTCCCTGGGTGCAGCTAGGTAATGCAGCTAGACCTTGGCCTCAGGAAAACTGGTTGCAGATGTGACGGGGAGATGGCCCCAAGACTGTCAGTCACTGGAGAGACCTGCAGGGTCGTATCTGCAGGGTCCTGTAGCATCTGGGTTCCAGGGCACTACCCAGAGCCAGGAAAGAATGAACAAAAGTCATTAAAAGTCAATACATGTGGCTTCGAATCAGGCTTCCGGGGAGTGGCTGGCACATACTTTACAATAGTTATTCCCTGGTCGGGAGTCAGGTGTTTGTTGCAGAAGCTCTCTGCTTCATTTCCCTGAATCCTGTTCTTAGAGTAAGAGAAGCTGACTAGCACGGTGTGAACTACCAACCTGGCCAGTTCCCCAAACTGACCACCAAGGCTTGGAGTGACACAAAAGCATTCAGGTCCTGTCGAGATGCACCATGTCAGGAGTGTATCCATTAAGGCCTACTGACCTAGTATGGTAGATTAGCTGGTCAAGAGTGAGGCCCTGGGGCACAGGAGGCCATGTGTTAGCCAGGGGGAAGGCCACAGCCTAGGAGGCCAGAGTAGGTACACACTATTTTTTTGGTGGATATGAAGTCTCCTATCCCTTTTAGGTCCTGTGAGGGTCTCCATGTCACTTCTGGATCCTTGGAGGAGATGAAACCCTGTAGTTTCTCCTCAAATGCCCTCTTATCATTTCCCCCTGTCCTTCAGCCTGGATTTGATAAACCAGGCCAATGCTCAGGCCAATGCTTCTTCACGTGAAGCCACAAAAATAGGTCCTTTTGTGCACTGTGTCTCCCATTCCCACCCAAAGACCTTAGGCTGCCCCCAGATGCCCTCCACAGAAAGCAGATGTCAAGATGAAGGGGCCCTGAGGAAGGCTCCTCGTTCATTTGCAAGTAGTAGGAGCTAACACAGGGCAGCACAGCACTGAGCCCCAGGTAGGAAGGGCCTGGAAACACCTGGGAGCAAGAAAGTTTCCGTTATCATCTTCCCTCATCCTCCCCAAGTTGACTGTCAACCTCTCTGTCCTCTGGTGTCACCATGAGCTACACAGAGAAAGCCTTGGACTTTCCACAGCATCCATCCAAGGCCATAGACTGAGAGCACAACAGGAAGGTGAGAGCCCTGGAGATGGGGTTTTAAAATAGTTTCCAATGACACTTTTATATGAGGATCAGTGGCATTTCAAGAGTCCAGGCCCAGTCACCACCAGAAGAGTGGGAACATGCTGGGGTGCTAATCCTGAGGTAGAAGCAGAAAGGGGCAGCCCTTCTACCCACACTTCCATGCCAGAACCACCAGATGGAGTGCCCTAACAATCCCATGGAATGCCATTGTGGGCCTGCAGGCCACAGGCTGCTAGTCCTCGCCTAGTGTATTTCCGTGGGGGGAGAGAAGTGAAGGGCCACACAACCCTCAAGTATTAGAAACCTGCAACAAGCGTGGAGGGTTTCTGGCTGTGATTCCAGATTGGAATAGCTGAGGGGGGAAAGAGTGTTAGTTCCATGAGTGAACATGAGAAGTATTCATGTACACTGGGACACCCACGAATTAACCACATGGCTAAATCCATTTGGGTTAATATCTTCTTTCTGTTGGCACTGCTTTATGTAGGCACACACATGTACACACGACATCCAAAAGCAACGCTGAGGGCACAGAGTAACAATTACACCTCTCAGAGGTAATACTCCATTAAGTCACTAGGAGAATGTAAGTACGGTGCAGGTTGGAACAAATTGAGAAAATGAAGACAACTCAGAAAATTTAAGGCAATTTTCTCTACTCATCCAAACTCCCCTTTTTCCTCCCCTCTCTCTGCTCCCCTCCCTTGTACCCCACTACAAGATCATTTATGCTCCGTCACACTGGCTGCCAGACTACTGCCAGGGCACCACCTTCTGGTGTAATGGAACCAGGTTATTTGATGGAATTATTGCTGCATAAGTTATTTTTATGTTATTACTAATCAATGAAATTAGCCTTGTAAAATCCAAGTTTGTGCGGTGCTTAATTTAAGCCCATGTTGTGGAGGTTTCTTGACAGATGCAGGTCAGAGCCTATAGCTTTGCCCCCATCTCTCTCCCTAGCCTGTCTGTTATAGAAACATCCTCTTGGTGCAGCTCTCCCTTCTCAGACTCTTAAACCATTTCTTTTTTATTATTATTAATTTTTCATTAAAATCATACCTGTATACATTTATGGGGTACAATGTGTTGATTTGATGTACAATGTGGAATGTATATCAAATCATCAAAATCCTGTGGTAATATATTTAAAATTTACCCTTAGTTATTTTGAAATATACCCTTGCATTATGCACATTAGGTGAGATGCCACCAAATGCCCTCCCTCCTCCCACCAATCACCTTCCCCCAGTCCTCTCCCCTCTCCATCCTCACCCTTCCCCCTTGCTAGACTATATTTGTATTTTATCATTCGTATGAATGTGAAAGTGATTATATATTGGTTTCATAATAGTATTGTGTACCTCAGATACTTTTTCCCCCCATATTTGAGATACGTTACTAAGAAGAATGTGTTCCAACTCCATCCAGTAAACATAAAAGACCATTTCTTACAAACTCAGGCAAAGCCAAGGCTGCAAGAGCGCCTCAATGTACCCTGGCACCAACAGGTCAGGAAGCACCATGCACAATGCACACGACCGGAAACCCTAGGAATAACTTGGTATTTCCACACCAGCCACTGTGGTTCAGCCAAGCTTCTCAACCTCGGCGCTTCCCTTCTCGCCTTTGCAAGTAAATTCATCAACAAGAACTGCAACAACCCCGGGAATACGCCGCCTTCCCCGCCAGGCCCTTCGATCCCTGGCAGGGGGCCGGCGGGAAGGAGGGGAAGCCTGAAAGGCGAAGGTTCCTGCCGTCCAGCTGCCCGCGCTGCCCCACGCGGGGCGAGCCTGTCTGCGCCCCCGACCCGCCGAGTTTTCCCACGCACACCTGCCAGAGCCCCGGGGAGCGCACCGCCCCTAAACGGTAGATGCAGCGGGCCGCGACGCCGCGCGAGTTCGAGCCCGGAGGCAGCGCAGTGCCCGGGACCCACCCCCAGGTCTCTCCTCGGTGCCTTGGGGCAAGCGCCCCATTTTGGAGGGTAGGGAGCCCCCTGATGGGCAGCCAGCGCTCTGCCACCCTCCACTCCGTGGTGTCTAGTGAGAGCACATGGGCTGCGCCTGCCACTTACTCTAAAGTCTGGAAGCAAGTATACAAGCCGGGCTTGGGGCTTCTGAAGGAGTCGCTGGCGGGTTGCGCGCCTAGCCTGCTGCCGTGCAGGGAGCCGGCGCTAGAGGCAGGCCCCGGGCGTCTGCCACGTGGGGGCAGCTCTGCGCTCCCAGCGCCCACACGCGCTCAGCCCCAGACCCACTGCCCGAAGCAACAGACAGCGGAATGAAGTTTCTTCTCCAAGGCCTCTCACTGTCTTCTGATCTAGGTCCAAAAAGGGCTGGCCTTGTTGCTTACATGGTTAGGAGCTAACCTCCCCTTTTTCCTCTGCCTCCAACATCCTGAGACCACAGCATCCTTAGTGCAAAATACCACATGATCTTTCTGAGCCTCTCTGTATCCCTACAGGGCTAGCGAGTGTGAGGAGTAATTTGGAGGGGAAACCCTAAAGATAGAGGCTTTCAGCTGGACAGGGAAGGACACTCAAGAGCTTTGGGGAGGAAATGCAAATAAGTCACTTTCTGGCATGTTAGATTGTGCAGGCTGTGCAGAGCAGGTCCAGAGGTAGAAGAGAGTGGCTGGGGCAGATAGGAAATTTATTTTATTTTTTTCTTTATTAAATCATAACCGGGGCTCGGCGCCTATAGCTCAACCCGCTAAGGCGCTAGCCACGTACACCTAAGGTGGCGGGTTCGAATCCCCAGCCCGGACC